GCGTTGCTTTCTTAAATTGCCTTGAAGGCTAGAAAGACAAGCTGTAGCGATATTTTTATATCTTTTGGTTTTTATCTTATCTATGCGAATGAATATTTTTATGCTGTGCTTAACGACTTTAACTTGTTGTACCAAAAATTGTCAGCTATATTGAATAGAATTGCGCGATAAAAGGCCTTATCTCAGCCTTTACCGTGTTTTTATCTTGCAGTTTTATACATTTGGTGCTTTGGACAGTTGTTCATAGTATTTACGATCGGATTAATATTAATATTCTTTTTACTATTCTTTAGAATAATATCTAGCGGCTTATTGGCACAATCTTGATTATAGGATAAGCTAAGGCACAGTATTGCTAAAAAATGAATCATTTTTTCAAAAGCAGTTCAGCTGAGCTGACCTCGGCAAAAGAAGAAATTGATATGCTTCGCCAGAAGATCAAGACTGTCGAAGCCATAGCATCTTCTCTTGAGGACCAGTTAGCGGAAGAAAGAAAAAAAAATGTTGATTTAAAAGGCACAGCACAAATGTGGGAGGATACAGTTAAGGCTATGGATGAAGCGCATCGCTGTGAAATCTCTGGTCTGCGAGACGAGCTATCAATTTACAAGCAAATAAAAGAGGCAACCGACGAGGATATTACCGTAGTAGTGAGTGAATCTATAAACTCCTCTTTGCAGGGCATACGACAAGAATATGAACTCAAGATAAATAAACTGACGGAGGATACCCAGTTACTGCAAAATAGGCTTACTGAAAGCGATAGTTTGAGAGCTGAAGGATTAAAGGAGTTGGAAGACGTGAAGGCTGCCTATTTGAGAGCTGAGAAGCGTTTTCGAGAGGATATTGCAAGAGTTCACGAGCAATACGAGGTGGGTCGTAGGGAAATGGAAAAGAAGCATATATCCGAGCTGGAAGAACTCAGGAAGATGGCTGAGAGCCATTACGGGCGTGAACTATCAGACGAGAGTAAGCCAGAAAAGCACTCTGAGCTTATCACCGCGCTAAATCATGAAATACAACACTTGAATGAATCGAACAGATTGCTCCAACAGGATATTGACCAGAAAGAACAAATATTAGTCGACGTGCAGCAGAAGCACGCTGAGTGGAGAGAAAAGGTAAAAAGTATAAAGCGGCAAGACAATGAAACCATTGAAAATTTGAAGAGACGCTTAGAATCCGCATCTGCTAGTCCTGCAGCAGCAGAGGGGCAGCCAAATCCTCAACTTAGTAAAGAACTAGAAAAGCTGAATGAAAAATTTGAGGAGGAAAGAATGATGAATAGGGAAACTATTAAACGTCTGCAAGAGCAGCTAACAGAGGCCGAGAAAAAGGTGTTGGAGCTCCAACGTAGTGAGGATTCTCTTGATAAGGTACAACCTGAAAGCGATAAGAATGAAATTCAAGACCATGATAGAGCAGAATCTCAACACCAGTCTCGGAGAGGAGGCAATTGTCGGTCGAGAAGAGGAAGAAGACAAAAAACGCAGGGTCAAGACAATGTCGTATTGCTGGGACACAATATGGATCTATCTTGCCACCAAAGTTCAGTGTCTCAAAATGCCACAGAGGCTGAGCGTGCATCGCAAGACCACACAGAGATGGAGCGCCTGCGTGACCAGCTGGAGGCGATGACAGCTGAGCGTGACGCGGCAGTTGAGCGTGCATCGCAGGATCACACAGAGATGGAGCGCCTGCGTGGGCAGCTAAATAAAAGTAATGATTCCTTAAAGCATATTGAATCTAACTTGCTTCTCTGGAAAGAAAAAGTGAAGACAGCTAAGCTTCGCGATACGGAAAAGATTTCGGAATTAGAAACAGCCTTGTCAGATAATAAGGAGACCACAGCTACTGCTGTTGGTGAAATGAAGAATCTCCTTTCACGGTATGGTGGTCCTGTTGATAATACCACAAGTTTACAGGAACTGATTTTTGGCTTTGATAAGTTCCTTGCTTCGGTCGTGGGGGCCTTGGCGTTATCTCTTTCAGAACCAATTGATGAGCACACTAATCCTCTTACATCAATGGCAGAGCGTCTGCATCAAAGGGTTGTGTGCCTTTCGAGGGAACAGAGTATTCTTCAGCAAGCAAATGAAAGCCTAGAGCGGGATAAAAGTGAACTTCAAAAGGAGCTCCAAAAGTGTGAAGAAGAATTCGAAGCTTTGAAGAAGCAATCCGAGGAAGTTAGTAATATGGTCCACCAAGATGAGCTAAATAAGCTTCTTGAGCTGAACAGACAGCTTGAGGAGCGTTGTGAGCTGCTTCGAAAGGAAGTGAAGCGACAACGAGAGGCATTTCATAGAGATCGTGCCCATCATGAGTTAGCCTCGGTGCTTGTTAGCACTCACAAGGATTCAAAGGAGACTGAGTTTGCATTGCGTGCTGCAGCTGGAGGTGTCTTCGAAAAGGATATGCTCTCTTTGGCGGCCACCCAGAGTCAGCGAGACAACGAAATAAAGTTCATGCGAATGAAAATCGCTGAACTTGAAAAGGAGAATACCGACCTTAAAAAGTCATGTGAGCACAATAACAAAGTGATTGTTGAGTATACCAAAGAGATTGAGGTTATGAAGTCAAATCAGCGAGTCCAGGTGAGCATTGAATATGTAAAGAATATTATTTATCAATTTTTATGCGCAAATGAGGATTTGCGCATGAGGTTGATCCCGGCCATCGGAACGGTACTAGAATTTAATGCAAAGGAAAAACAAGATATCTTGGTGGCAAATCCGAAGTGTCCCAAGTTTCATTAGCTCATCTTTCTTGATGCGACGCATACCTTCGTTTGTCCTTTGACAATATTTACAGGGAAGGAAGATCTGCGAGCAAGGTGACTTCTTTTCAGTAGCAGGCTTATTGCTACTTGATCTTTGCTTGCATTTCACGCGATGCTGTGCAACTCCAACATGCGTTTTTTTGCTTTCTTTCTGATATTTCGGCATTCTGTTGTTTCAAAAACTTCAAATAACTAGATGCACACCGATTATTAACTAAAAATATCACATATATATCATATCTCCTTGTTTGGTTTGAATTGCTTAATGATTTTTTTCCCGTTCTTTGCTGTTTATAAAATTCCAGAGTTTGTCTAACGCTCCATTTTTATAGAAATCAGATGTTAGTGAAGTAAATTTGCTTTTTGAAAAAAAATAAGCAAATGGGAAAGCTAGATCTTGAAAAAGAAAAGCAAATGGAGCTCGCTGCCATTTGGGGAAGTGAGGTCGATGGAGACGTACGATACCCCAAACGTCGAGGTGCAACGAAGAAAGTAATGCGAACAGAGGCTATATCAGAGTCTGACCCGAATAACGAAGATGTTCTTTCAGATGTTGGTAGTGATGGTGAGGGTGCTAGCACTAATAAAGGCAACGCTAAACAAAAAAAAAACATTAAAAAAGATGCCAAAAAAGAGTATCGTTTGCATTGCTTTGTAGAACCAGGAACGAGCAAAAACGCTGTGCGGACAGTGTTTGATGCGTACCAACCCAAGGTGGAGCTTCGTATTACACAAAAAGGAAATTTATTGAATAAATCACAGTATGCTGTCCTTACGTTTCGTAATAAAGCAATGGCTCTGCACGCCGTTAAAATGCTAGACGGGACAAACCAACGAGACATGCTTGGTGTCGAAAAGCTCAAGCTCAATTTAATGCTAAATCGGCACCAAAGTAGTATAGTGCGTAAAAAAAGAAATAAATTGCTGAAGCAATATCAGAATGAAAAAATAACCAAGGAGGTTCTCAATGACATGCAATTTATTGAACAGTTCATCTCCCAACATATTCCTCAAAGTTGACGGCGACCTCCACATAATATATCAATGAGGTTCATCTGACTTCAACACTAATTAAAAATATTCAAATCACTTATATTTCATTAAACTTAACACATGCAGATACACGCATATGTGTAATTCAATTTTGCATCCTTTTCTCTTTTTAGCCACATGTTTTTCTGATGAAAATATCATTTCTCTACTTTTGTTCGTTTCTTTTTTCCAACATTGTCTGGGAAAGATAAATCAAAGATAAGGAACACCAATGGACCGCGATGAGGCTGAAGTCACATATAAAACCCTTACGGCGCTCATGGCTCCGGAGCCATGGACGTTTCCTTCATGTATTATCAACTATTGCGAAGGCGAAGTCAACGAAAACGACCAACTTGACGGCTTTGGTCGCGTAGAAACGTCTATGGGATTCACCTATGAAGGCGAATTTTGTAACGGCCGGATGGAAGGTGCTGGGGTTATATCCTGGGCGGACGGCTACACAGTGAAGGGTAACTTTAAGCATGGTGCAGCTAACGGGACGGGTCAACTTATATGGCCGAATGGTGATTATTACGAGGGTGACCTTGTCAACTCTATTCGTCAGGGGATTGGCAAGCTCACCTCACACCGTGGTCAGGCGGTGTATCAGGGTGGTTGGGCACACGGAAAGCGGAATGGTCGTGGATGGCAGCAATTTCCGGATGGCAACGTGTACGATGGCGAGTGGCTGGATGACCAGCGACATGGACATGGGGCGCTTATCTACAGCAACGGCGATTGCTACGAGGGGGATTGGGTGAGAGATGAGCGTCACGGAAGCGGCGAAATGGCATGGAGAAAAGGCAACACACAGTATATGGAGCTATATGAAGGCACATGGGTGCAGGGACTCCCTTCTGGAGAGGGGCGCTCCACGACCATTATGTACGTAGATACAACCGATGTACCTATATATAACCCCATCACTGAAGAAAAGGAGTTTGTTACCCCGAGTAACTTCGTGATCCCGCTCGATTGTGGCACCAACGTCTACGAGGGTAGCTTTGTAGACGGCATACGCGAGGGCAAAGGGACATTTTACTATGCTGATGGCAGCCGATTTGAGGGATATTGGCATCATGGAAAAAAGAATGGTACCGGCAAGTTCATCGGTGCCATCAGCAAACCGTTTTACGCCACTTTTGTCGACGACATCCCACAGAATCTCCCAGCGCTGTCCGGCCCTGGATGTGAGGATGCTGTTTCCTCAATCTACATTGAAGACCTCTGTACTATCGCGGATGAAAGCGAGACGGAAGTGGTAGCCTCTGCAAAGACCATACTACTTCGTTTTAACCCATGGATGAAGTCTCTGTTTCGTAAATGCTATTGCCTGCAAAACGACATCGCTTTCATTACCACACCAGATAAGTGGTGCAAGCACCGTTTGCCGGGACTCGTCAGTATGCCACAGCTGCTTAGATTTCTCAATGATGTGCATATTTTAGGTGGCATTGTAATGCTGAGTACTGTAATCCGCTGTGTAATCAACACCATTCAAGCTGAGAGAACGGATAACTATAGCATTCAAAGCTCTGAATCGATCGCTAGTGAAGAAAATAAGCGCAAAAGCATATTTATTGATGACGCATACAGCCTAAGAGCAAATCTCAACTATAGACAATTTACCGAAGTACTGATGCGGTTGGCAAATGTAGTTGTGGTTGGACCTTCGTTTGTCACTATAGGCCAGAAGCTGAGCAACTTTATTGAGGAAAGGCTTTCCGGAAATGTTTCTGTGAGTCCTCTCTTCCCCCAGACAAGGGCCTATGCGGCCGACCTGAAGCCGCACCTTGATTCCTTGCGGCACATCTTCCATGCACTAGTTGAATTGGAGCACACCGAACCGATTCATCGCTTCCTATCTGTGCGCTTCTTAATGCGTTACCTTAATCCTTTGATTGTGAAACATGGACTAGAGTTGCGGAGTACGATTTGTGAGTTGTTCCCACTGCGTACGCGCTATTCTTGCGCCCCAGGGTTGCAGTCTTCATTGCCATCTGGATTCAATATGCCACAAGGCGACCTTGGTTACGAGATGTTCTCAAAAGCGAGTGGCGATATGTGTGCTCTTGATGCTGAAGTTGCGTCTAACTTTGAGCTAACCCTAGAAGATTTTGTTGAGGCTGTCGTATTGATCTCTCTTAAATGTTCTGGAAACGACGAAGAAGGCACGGTTTCCAGCATTGGTTCTGTGATTGAAGAAGAAATACTTCCTCTCGGAATTTATGATATGTAAACTACATTTAGTAACGGCTCACGTTTATGCAACAAGAGCTGTTATGTTCATCGATAAAATTTTTTTTTATCTTTTTAATTTTGTATTGAGGGTATGCTTAGTGTGTGTAGATGCTGATGTTCATGACGCAATCAAGAAGAAAAATGAATGCCTTCCCCCCTCCTCCCTCTCTCTCCCCTTTGTTTCCTATTTTGTGTGGAGTCCTCATATCAGCCTATACGTCATCTCATTCCTTTTTAAGCATTAAGAAATGGGTTTAGATATCAAGCTGTTTCGTGACGAAGACACCGCCAACTTGGTGCGTGAGTCCCAGCGTCGGCGGTTTGCTGACCCTGCCGCTGTAGACAAAGTCATTGAGCTCGACAAAAAATGGCGAGAGACTCAATATCTCACAGAGTCAACAAAAAAAATGATTAATAGTTGTAGCAAGGCTGTAAGTGCGAAGAAGAAGGCAAAGGAAGTGAATGGTGAGGCGTCTGAAATCCCAGCAGATATTATTGACGAAATGAAAAGAGGGCAGTTGAATACTGAGAGGCTTGATAGTCTTTGTATTCTGCAGCTCATAGAGCTGTCGAAGGTGCTTTCCGCCCATGTGAGCAATCTGGGTAAGGATGCGGATGAATTGGTAGCAGAGAGGGACAAAATACTCTCTGAGGTGGGCAATATCCTTCACGAGAGTGTGCCCGTCGCCCAGGATGAGGATATCGGCAACCAGGTGATCCGTACCTGGGGCGACGTCACATGCCGCAAAAAGTTCAATCACGTCGACGTGATGGAGCGGCTTGGCCTCATGGACACCTCGAAGGCGGTCACCGCGATGTCGGGCGGGCGGGCCTTTGTTCTTCGTGGAGGCCTCGTGCAGCTCCAGGTTGCCCTTATCTCGTATGGCCTAAACTTTCTCATCCAGCGCGGCTACGAGCCTTTCTACCCACCTTTTTTTCTCAACAAAGATGTGACCGCCGAGGTCGCACAGCTTTCCGAATTTGACGATGCGCTTTACAAAGTATCCGGCGACGGGGATGATAAGTACCTGATCGCCACCAGCGAAATGTCCATCGCGGCTTATCACCGCGGGAAATGGTTTACGGAGCTGAAGGAGCCGATCAAGTTTGCCGGAATGTCGTCCTGCTTCCGAAAGGAGGCTGGCGCGCACGGACGCGACACACTTGGCATCTTCCGTGTTCACCAGTTTGACAAGATTGAGCAGTTTATCGTGTGTTCCCCACGTGAAGATGCATCGTGGCAAATGCTTGAAGAGCTCATCAAAACTTCCCAGGACTTCAATGAAAGCCTTGGCCTGCCCTATCGTGTCGTTTCCATCTGCTCAGGTGCCCTTAACAATGCGGCCGCTAAGAAATATGACCTGGAGGGGTGGTTCCCCGGCTCAGGTGCGTTCCGTGAACTAGTCTCATGCTCTAACTGCACTGATTATCAAGCGCGATCGGTAAACTGTCGTTACGGACCCAACCTCCGTGGGACCTCGGTTAATGCCGTCAAAGAGTATTGTCATATGTTGAATGGTACGCTGTGCGCTGTCACACGAGTGATGTGCTCTATCTGTGAGAACTTTCAAACTGATGAAGGCGTCATCATACCAGAGGTGCTTCGGCCGTACATGATGGGAGTACAGATGCTCAAGTACCCCAAGGAAGTCCCTGCCGCTGAGTCAAAGTAAATTTCAACCTGATTCGCATGCATATATGTATATATATATATATGCATCTAGTTCTTTTTTTAGTTAGGATACTTTCCTTAGTCAATAATGATATTTAAAAAAAAACATTAACTGTTGTATCGATCACACTTCGGAAAGTTTAGCATTTAAGGTTTAAACTCGATCATGATAATCCTAGTATAAATAAAAAAAATAGAAGCCTAAAAATTGAGATCAAAAAAATCTTTATCAGCAGGAACTTTACTTCAGTTGGGATTGAACTTTTTATGCCTTCTTTGCACTTTTCTTGTTTATATCCTTTCACTCATTTGCACTGCTCATATGAATGACAAGAAAGGTGTTTATCACAATGGAAGGCACCACAATAGATGGCAAAGTTAAGCGGGATTACACTCTTATTGCTTCAGTAAAGCGAAAGAGATCCCTTTCATCGCAGCATGAGCTCATGGAGGAAGTAGAACAGCACACAAATGAGGTGATGCAGCAATACAAAGCCCTCGTTGCGCAATCGTCTGCGTCAGGCAATGGAGCTAGTGTAACATTAGTGCCGAACATTAATGAAATCAATAATCGCTATCGTAAACTCGTAAAGATCGGTGAGGGTAGTTTTGGTGAAGTGTTCATCGTTTACGATACCGTAGCTGGGACATATTTAACCATGAAGCGTATGATCAGGTTTCTGCACAGTAGTGAGCGGTCTCTATTTGGCCTTCATAATACAACCTTTCGCGAGCTGCACCTTTTGACAACACTTTCGCATCCAAACATAGTGCGGGCAATAGACTATCATATTCTGTCTAATGGAACCTTAATTGTGTTTATGCCGGTCATTTCTTACGACTTGGTCTCACTGATGAGACATTGGCAGAACATCACCGCCTCAGGTCGCGTAACAAGCGCCTGGAGGATGCCCCTCCCTGTTATTAAGTGTATCTTCAGGCAATTGCTTGAGGCAGTGGCTTATCTGCATAGACATAAAGTTATTCACAGGGACCTCAAACCAAGCAACGTCATGGTCGACATGGATGGGGTTCTAAAGTTGATTGACTTTGGATGGTCGAGGTACCTGGCCACAGACCTAAATCAAAGACTAACAGGCCCTCCTTGTACCGTCAATTACCGACCCCCGGAGCTCCTGCTGCTAGGGTGTCATGCGACTCGCTATCAGACGCCGCTGGACATCTGGTGTTGCGGGTGCATTCTTTTTGAGATGCTGAGTGGCGGCACTCTGTTTGTAAGCGGACACAACGAGGTAGAGGCAATTTCGAGTATTTTTGATTGGCTTGGGTCTCCATCTCCGAAGAGCAACACCTATTCAAGGGAGGGTTCTCATTCGTTTGTAATAGACTTCCCGCTGGGCAAGCCCAACACATTCGCGTCGCGCTGTGCTAGTCTTTCGATTCAGCCTAGAGAAGTCGAATTTATGTCCAAGATGTTGCAGCTCGAACCATCAGAACGCTTGCGGGCAGAAAAGCTTGCACAGGATGAATGGTTTAGCATCCCCCCCTCTGCATGCCGGCCGCCAGATTTGATGTTACCTGCGCACAACACATTCCGGTGGTTAGAATGGAAACGACGAAAGTCTCATCATATATAAAGGATACCAAACTTCCGTGTTTTACCTACTGCTAAACGTTAAGACATATTTTTTTTCTACTTTATAAATTGCTGTGTGTATTAATGTTGTGTTAGTAGCCTTTTTCTATAGGCATGTAGCGCAGAGCCAAAACTCAATTTCCCCCCCTTCCTTCGCTTCGTTTTTTAAGAATTAATAATAGATTTTCTGAACTACGGATCCTATTAAACTCAAAAACGGCTTCTCTTCATTTCAAATGTCTTTAATCGCAAAGGTGGCGGCTGCGATGGGGAAAATCGCCCCACTTGCACTTGCTGACAGCTCATGGGACAATGTTGGCATCCTTGTAGAGTCCCCCAATTCCAACCAAAGTAACGTTGTCATGCTCACCATAGACCTCACCCCACAGGTCATGGAGGAATGTGTCCGAAAGAATGTGGAGGTCATCATAGCTTATCACCCGCCCATCTTCCGACCCATCGCACGGCTTTTGTTAGGCGACCCAAAGACGCACATCATTCTCCGTAGCGTACGCGAGGGCATGTCCATCTACTCCCCGCACACCTCCCTAGATGCGTGCCAAGGTGGTATCAACGACTGGCTCATGCTTTCAGCCGTTGGGAATGTTGAAAAGATGGTCCCTATCGTCGCGAAAGCCCTGGAAGGAGCCGATAACGTAGAGACGGGCTATGGCCGCGTCGCCACCCTCACGACCGCCCTTCGCCTTAGCCAACTGGTCAAAAACCTCAAGGAAAGGTTAAACATCCCAACAGTGAGGGTGGCACTGCCTGACGGGTGGTCGCGCGATCATCCGATCAACTCGATTGCTGTGTGCGCAGGAAGTGGCAGTTCCGTATTCTCTGGGCTGAAACACCACGTGGATGTCCTCTTAACCGGCGAAATGGGTCATCACGACGTCCTCGCAGCGAACGCGGCTGGACGGGCTGTTATCCTTTGCGAGCACACCAATACGGAGCGAGGCTACTTGAGAGAAGTTCTCTTTTCCAAGCTACAACAGGAACTGGGAAGTGAAATCAATCTTTGTGTTTCTCAGGAGGATCACGATCCCCTTCTGACCTGGTAGCAAACATACTATTATTGCACTTGTTTATCGTGAAATTAACTTTGGACGCTTCTTTTTTTCTACTAATGTGAATCTTCATGCAGTAGCATTAATCGAGTTACAGATTAATGGTTTTGAGAATGTCTGTACTATACCGCAATGCGATTGAAAAGGATGACTTTGACATCACATACTAGAACAAAATGTGACGGTTTATTTTTCTTCACATCTGTCAATACTTTTCTTGTGTAGTTTTTATTCTTATTATTTCCTTTTAGTATTGCCTTTCCTGGGCATAAGAGTTATACATCCATTGGGTACTCCTGATTATCGCTGATTTTTTTCACCAAATCATGAACCCTATTTGGCTTCAAGAGATTGATGAGACCCAGCGTGTGATCGATCACTGGTACCAAATGTCATCAGCAAGCCTGCAAACGGCGTATCATTCCTTCATGACGCAGATCCGCCAACTAGAAGTCCACCTTTTAGGCGAGACCTCAAGACAAGGGGATACCTTTGCCGAGAACCTTCTCACACCTAATCAGGCTATCTTTTCTGATGAGTTTGCGCATCAGAACATGATTTCACCATCTGCCAGCCACGGCCCTGTTGATTATGATACCTTAATAGATGATGTCAAGGGTTCTATACGGGCTAGTTCCGATCATGACGAAGAAACGTGCAAACATCCAGACCATGTACCACCCAAAGACTACAGCCTTTCCTGTCAGGTGTTGGTTCAGTTCAAGCGAAAGAGAACTGTGCAATACTCGTGTTCCTACTACATAGCCCCAGGGGAGTACGTGGTTGTAGGGGGTGACCGTGGAGAGGATATAGGCTTGGTAACTCATTCAAGGACCGCCGACGGGGATTCCTTAAACCAGACAGACCATTCATGGTCAAAGGGCGTCGGGGAGGTGCTTCGCGTGGCTACTCCAATGGAGGTGGCGCAGCTGCAGAGTGTGCAGACGGAGTTGGAGGCACGGGCTGTTGAGTCTGCACAAGAAAAGGTCCAGGAGCATGGATTGAATATGCGGATTGTGGATGCTGAGTATCAGTTTGATCGTCGTAAGCTAACGTTTTTTTATCAGGCACAACAGCGGCTTGACTTTCGTAATTTAGTGAGGGACTTATACAAGACTTTCCGGGCGCGTATTTGGATGGAGCCAGACTCACCTTCCTAAGGCGCAACATAGCATACTCGCTCCTTGCTTGTCGTACCAAAACGAAATCTTAAGATGACGTTCCATTTTCGAATAGTTGGGCTTTTTGATTGAGTAAAGGAAAGAAGGAGAATAAATGAGTAAATTGACGCCGTTATTTTCGAGTTGTTTATTGCTTCCAGTTAGAATATTATCTCGGATTGAAATATGAATTCTGTGGATTTATCGTAGAGGTGCTAGATATCTTCTGATGCCACTTGCGAAGTAGCAGAGAGCGAAAACTATTATTTGTGTAGTGTTGGGCATGGGTTAAGGATAGTGTGCACGATTGTTATTTTTGTTTTGCCAAGTAAAAACGATCAATGCCATTTACAGCGCTGTGACTTCGATAGTGAAGCTTATTCTTTTGCTTCTGAGTGGTTGTCACCACTTCTCAATGAAAAAGTTTATATACTAAGATCGCATAAAATATTTAATCATATAATAGAAGGAAAGTCGCGTCTGTTATTAGTACGCATACATGGTGTGAATAAAATTATCGCAATGAGTTAAAATATGTTTATAGCAACACACATAGCCAAGCGGTATAATTTTTAAATACTTAAAATAATACTTATTTCTCTCGTTTTAAGGTGTCTAGCCCTTTATACTCATTTTGATGTTTTAGGTGTGTTCTTCTGTAATATAATTTTTCTCCAAAAGTTATCTTCGAATTCACTTTATTTAAGTGGTATCGATTTTTCATACCTTTGTAATCTTATTCATTAGACAAGATCAATTTGTAAAGAAAATTCCAAGTGGATTCTTCTTTACATAAATAGTTACGATTTGTAAGAAATTGCTAACGTTTTAGGGTACAGTTTAGTTGTCACATTATTTGAAACAATAGACTTAAAATGTACCAAGACCGATATATTAACGAAAGAAGCAAAGTATATCAGGGGTCCGCGTCTAGAACCGATAGACTATCTTACATTGCAGTGGATGACAATATTCCAAAACTGTCTCATTCCCATTTCAGTAATGAAGATTCTCGTGGTTTGGTGCGTAGCCAAGCAAGAAAACGATTCTTGCCCCCGCCGCCGCCATCGAAATCGCCAGAACGTTACCTATCACACAAACATCAACACAACAATAGCGTAAATGAACATCCCAGAGCTTCTCTGAGGGCATCGCCATCTTTATCATCATCATATGAGTATTCGTATGAGTACATTTACAGCAACACGTCGTGTTCGACTTCCTCTAGCGCATCTAGGGGAAGCAGTACAGGCGCCCAGGGCGGTGCGCGTTCTGACAAGATATCCCGTCGAGAGATTCCCTCAGGTAAGGATTTAGAGTTAGCCGCAGCTGCAGCATGTAACGCCATCCTTGAGAAGGAAAAGTCACTAAAACTGGTGGAGCTTAAGCTTCTAAATGAAAAGCAAAAATTATTGGAGGAGGTCAAGCGGCGGACTTCGATGCACAACAATGCAGATACTAAAGACAATACCATCGCATGTCTAGAAAAACTTGTGATATCCGATGATTCTATTAAAAAGCCGGGCAATTATCTCCTTTGTGAGTCGCCTAAGCCTCGTCCAGTTGACGAGGATTCGGTGGGAGCTGCTGGTGATCACACGCGCAGCATAACATGTGGCGATGCAAATCAGCCGACATTGAACGGTATTCACCACCCGTTAAAGGCTAACAGAGCTTTTAATTCACATGATACATCATTCAGACACTCCAAAGAAGGACCGGAAACACCTCCTAGAGAACGGAATATTCAAACTAAATCAGAAGCGGCCCTACAATCCTCACATCCTTTGCAGAATGTTGCACCACAAGATGACCTAACAATTGCAGGCTCCACTCAGGTATTTTCAGATAGAACAGCCTTCATTAGACTAGAACATGGGAAGATAGTAAAGGACGTCACTACAAAACAGCACGCGGTGACAAATATTGAGAATCATTTACCTGAGAAATTACCTGATGCACGGGCGTCGTCGGAGCCAGATGGCAACACTGGAATCCCCACAATCGTTTCCGTACCTGTCTTGACCAAGTCTTTAGAACCGAACCGTATAGGAGTGTCTGAAGACACACTTCCAGTATTCGACGCGTCTCTGCCAGGAATAAATGAAACCAAGACCGCCCCTCACGTTCAAGTCGATGGAGTTACCCGAGCAACGGTAGTGTCGCCGTCAGATGTGGTCTTCTCTAGTGGAGGTAGTGTACAGTTGGCGAAAGAGGAGTCCAAGGGATTGCACACCGATCCGTCAAAAATTTCTGAGCAATTGCGGGGTAGCCCTGGCACCGCGGGGTCCATCAACAGCTTCGTAGTGAAACAGATCTCGCCTAGTGCCTTTGGGGGACGGTATATGTCTCCGAAAATAGACGAAAGCTCTGTGGAATCTTTAAATCCCCCCCCGGAGCGTCAGAGGCAGGTAATACAATGCGCCCCCATTCCCTACTACAGCTCGACAGCCCAGTCATTGAAGTCAGCACACTCAGCCAACCAAGGAAGTCGGCCATCCCAGCCCATAACCCTCACTAACCCCCCTATGGACCGTTCCAATCGTTTTCTTTGGGATCCGAACGCGAAGACGGTTTCCACCCGCAGCAAGGGAATCAAGGATTTCCTCTGCGCCGAATACGTATCGCCGTCAAACTCTCATGAACCCGTACTCCCTACGGAGCCCGCCCGGGAGGAGGACCAGACGACGGCGAAGGATGCTGCCAAAAATCACGACAGCGATTCCCGCCCGCATGCCCAACCCGATGCTCAACCGATGGACCCTCCTATTTTTGAACCTTTTGTGGAAGAAAGCACGCCGCAAAAGATGCAATCGCCTCGCGCGCAGCATCAGTCGGACAATTCGGGAGGAGGCGATAGGCAAACGACCTTTCTCCCGTCGACGGAACATGTGAACGGGATCCCGAATACAGTCGCTAATCATAGTCCCCATTCGCCTTGCAATTCTTTAATACGATCGGGGAGCTCCTCTGTTGAATTTCCAACCCCACCTCGCGCCCCAGCGGACAAAAAGGGGAAGCCATGCTGTTGTGGAAGGTACTGTACTGGGTGCCGCAAAGGCAAGAATAACGAATCTGGTCCTAGGCGACTTATGCAGTGCCTTGTTCCTTGGTTCAAAAGAAATAAAAAGGATACCAGTCCACACCAACCCACCAAAGATTAACCATCAGTTGCGTAAAATATCTGCTGCAGCTCTCACGTTTTTTATTTTCCAATTTTCCATTGCGAAGTGGTATATTTAGACTAATCAATCTAGCGTAAACAGTATGACTGTGCTTTTGTATTATTAAGAGCACTATAGAGTTTATGTATTGTATTAGATTATCATTACTTTTTTTTTTTTGCGAGAGGTCTATCTTGCCTAAAAGTGATAGTGCTCTAGACCGGAATTTGCTTTCTTAACGCTTCAAATTCTCTTTTTTTCAAGTGAATGTGAAGCAAGAATAAAGGATATAAAGTAGTATTTGTGTTATTGATGATGGAATTGCTTCAGTTGGAATTTGTTACTAGGGATATTTGTTTTTTCTGCCTTTACAAAAATGGATTTCATTCTTTACAAAGGAAGGTGCATCTTGACTATACCCACATACCAAGAGTAAATAAGCCGAAGCTTTTCCTTCAACATCACCTCCACCTCCATCTTTCCCTCCGCACCACGCCTAAACCTCCATCGTTTGTTGTTTTTTTCTTTTTGCTAACTTGTTAAGGCATTTTCGCCAGTTTCAGATATAGTCAACAAAGATGGATGTTACCACTTTAGACCATAGAATCCATAAGATTCTGCGAGATCATTGCGACGTTCCCCGAGTGCTGTTCATTACGGAAGAGCCCATTCTCTTGCCGCGACATGGCACCCGCAAGCACGTTCTTCTTGCGTCAACCAAGTTCTACACCTATCTTATCAAGAAAAAAGGGTATCATCTATACTACCGCTGGTCCAATCGTACGCTGCTTGTTGAGGCAAGGCAAAAAAAGATTATGCTCTCCTCGACGATTTCAAAATCGTCCACCACAAATGGAGCTGCACGAGATAGCAGGGTCGTCAGCGACGCTGGTGCCTCCAAAGCGACGGATGAAGACGACTTCAGTCAGGTTACCCTTGAGGCCAACTCTTCTTTCGACGCAAATGCGATATCTGACAAGATCAACCTCCTCGTGCGCAACGCACAGCGCATGGGTGCATTGTTAGAGCTCGAAGAGATCGGCACGGCCTCGAGGACGAGCTGGGAAATCGGGGGCAAAAGAACCACAGACGATGAGGGCGCCGATGGGGATTCGGAGTCCTCCGGCAGTGAAGCAGACGACGTGGCGCTAGCGGTTGTACCTCGAACCGTTAACGAAACTAAAAAAACGTACACCAATTCATCGGCATTGATTACGGGAGAGGACGGCCAGGGGTTGCTACAGATAGCCCCTTCGCGCTACATTTCCGTCATGTCTCTGGTGGATGGCGAGTTTGTGGATTACACAACACTCAAAAATGCATACCTCCGCCACGAAGACGAAAGTCTGCTCAACGATCTCTCCGTTTTCATCAAGCAAAATGAACGCCAGGTGGAGGTTTTGTGTGAGCATCACTACCCTGCTCTTATCAACGTCGCGCAGAAGTGTTTGACCATTTCCGAGAAGGACGCCCAACGCGTCGGTGAGGAACTTAGCGGCTCCACCGCTCTGGTGCGTTCGGCCGTGGTGAACATCAAGCAGGCCGCCTCTAACCTCCTTCAATGTCAGAGCTCCCGGGATAATTTGATCAGCGTGCGCGATCTCCTGCGGAAATCGATCGCCGTGGTGGAGTACCTAGAGACCGTTGAAACCCAATTGCAGAAGCAGCAGCTCATCGGGACGCTTGGATCTCTGCGTGAGTTGGTGCGGCTGGCCGCGCCGATGGCGGAATCTACGCTCGGGGAGTACGTTTTACAAATCCGTGTTCCCGCTATCATGCAAGCGGTTTTCACGTACGCCATCCAGCACCTTAACGTGTGGCTGAAGCTGCTTAATGATCAGGCAAGCCTCGTGGGTGGGGCGGCCTTTTCCTGGGGTGGATGCATCACCGCGGGGTCGTTCACGAAGAAGATTGTGTTTTTCCCACAGGAAAACAAATGGGGTCTGACCGAAAACTACCAGAATGCCTCGATGGTATCCGAGACGTTTGACCAGGGAGAAGCCATTGCCAAAATTGTGAGTGGGGCCTCTATCCAGAGCGTCTTCCACGAGCTTCGGCGGGGGGATTACTTTTGTAAATACTACACGGATGGCCGTGCCCAACAAGCGAGGGCCAGCATCCTGGAGTTCCATCTGGCGGTGGAAAACACCCCTGGGGAGGAGCTTGTCAAGAATTTCACCACCTACTGCGCAACGGCGCTGGGATTTATGCTTATTGAGGATGTCGTTTGGCATGCCACCGCACCATCCCCTTTGTCGAGCTCCGAAGTTTTGAAGATGTGGGATCGTGTGGCCTCCGCTATAGCGGATCGCGTGTGGACAGTATCAAGGACCCTTTCCACGGACCCATCCTACTCCGAACGGATGGTTGAGGTGTTCAACATCCTTCGTCGCCTTATTCAGATCTCCAGCGCAACCGTGAAGTGTGTCGAGTTAAATTCACTGGTGCTATTCCGTGTGGTGGAATCCATCACGGACCAACTCACTAGTAGCTGGCTGCAGGACGCGTGTTTAGAGGGCTCACAAATTATTCTGATGGATTCCTTGACACCCCTCACCGTTAGCGATGCCTCGCAGTTTGAGTCCTACGTGAGCCGATTCTACCTGAACACGTGCTCTTCGCTGGAGCTGCCCGTTCCGAAGACTTACACATCGGGGCTCTTGAAGTTGCCTTATAGCCTCCTCGTACCCTCAATCGGAAATGTAGCTCTCAAGTTCATCTCCCAGTGCTACTCGGTTGTGGTGGTGGACCCTTTTTCATCAATCCGGCAGTCTGAGCTGAACAATGTTGATGAAATGCTGCTAAAGTATATATCGGTCTTATTTCGCACCGTGGCAGAGTTTCTGCTGCAACGCATCATGACCATCCACTCACGCTCAGTTTTGGAGTTCGCAACGCTGGTGTCGTCATGTGCAGCCATCCCAGTGCTCGTCTCATGTGTTGAGCAAGAGTTTATGCTTCACTGGGCGGGTGGTGATAGCCAAAACGAGGAGCAGACTATGGGATCGCCACAGTTGCTGGCGGAGTGCGCCGCGTTCTTCTCAACACCTCTCCAGAAAGGGATTGAAATGCTTTTAGGCGCCTTCATTGCTGAGGTCGAGGATCGCCTGAAACCTACCTTCTCCTATACCTACTGGAAAACGCAGCTGAAAGGGCATACAAGGTTTCAACTCAAGGACGGCACCGTGACCGATGAAGGGTTCGCGGCCGCGATGGAGTATATCTTCCGACTCATCCCTCAGCTCAACGAGATTCTTCAGTACACCGTTGCGAGGAGCGTGTGTGGGACGACCGTTTCGCATGCCATTCTTCGGATGCAGTCCAGCATCCAGGATGCCCTCAAAAACGCGTATGAAGGAGATGAACGAGATTTCGCACAGATGCGGGAGTGCGTCAAGGAGTTTGATACCCAGTGCACCTTGCTCATTCCATTATGGCAAAAACGACTCAGCGAGGTGATGCCAGAACTTCCCGCGGCGAAGCACTTTCCTTTGCAACTCAGCAGTGCCGTTTCCGATCTGAACAATTGGATTGATGTAAAAGAGGCTGAGAACGCCGCGGAGAGGGTTGTCCATCCGAATTTTTTAGCTAGCCTCGAGGTAACCAGTAGGGTGGTGAAGGGTTTTAAGGCAATGGGCAGCACCGTTACCGCCAGAGCGAGCGTCTTTTCGAAAAGGGACTAGGGTAATGATACCTAATATTCAGCTGAAAGATCCTCAAATAATCAAGTACCCATGCAGGGGGAAATAACTTTGTTGCTGTAATATGATCTCATGTCCGTATATGACTATGGCTTACTGACAGAAGAATTCGGACATAAATATTGTGGTCACTTTCTTCGATATTCCAAGGAAATGGAAAAAGAATGTATGTACTCTGAGGTTGGCTTTTCATTTCTCCGTCGTTATTCGTTCTCAATATCTCTGACACGTACGTTGAATCATCCGTTTACACGTTGATTTGCATTCATTCGTATTTACAAAGTGCATTATAATACACATAATTTATTAGAAATGTTTCCATAATCAAAATCTGTAGATTCCATGGAAATCATATGGGAGAGTTGGAAAAGCTCTCTGCCCTCCGCTACGCCGTCTCGACATGAGGGATGGTATGGCAAACCATGAACGTTTCCGTTTTGAAAACTAGACAGCCCAGAAGCACTGCAAGGAACTTTGTACTTGCGTTACCACAGCTCACGTTCATCAAAAGAGATATCAGAAGAGTATCATAAATTAAAGTTTATCAACTCCTCCAGGAAGCTCACGCCTGTCTTTGGTATACATCGTGGCTTGAAACGGTTGTAAAGGAACATTTGGTCGAAATCTCAGGTGGAAAAGTTTACCCGAGTGTAGATTCATAACTTATTGAAAGTGTCGAAAGTAAAATTAGGGCATCGAAAGGAGGTCTTCCTAATGTAAATGAAGAGCGCGATGAGCCTTCTCTTTCTTCCGTCAACACTTAGTATTCTCTGAAAAAGAAGAGCGGAAGTAAAGATCAAGGCGTTGGAAAAGGAGTTGCATATGCAACAAAAACAGCTGGAAGGCTTTTTCAAAAGTAATCACTTTCAAAGTTTTGGGTTTCTTTCCTACATCCACACAATCACAATCAACTGCACTAAACCTGCAGCTGAAACTAGCGAAAGTGCATTGAGTAGGCGAGTTGAATCACACGAGGAGGTACTTCAACGCGCAAATAGGCTCGGAGACATCTTTGGTCCTCGTGGCTATTATGAGATCGAGAAAGGGGGAGGAGGAGAGCACGAGTGTTGACATTCGCCGAATCTCAGGGTTGATTTTGGCTCGCTTTATTCATGATAAGCTCATGTAGTGACAGGAGGGAGTTCAACTTGACATCTCCAACCGAACCACCCCGTTTAATTTAATCCTTCTATGATGTCTGACGACCTCAATCCGGCGAGAGGTAATGCAGGTAATGTTTTGCTTGATTTCCTTCATTTGGAAGGTATTGGCACTTTTACAACCCCCCCAACGGGAAGCGCACATAGCGGTTTTGCTGTAAGCATTGAACATTTGTATAGGGCGTTTCCTATGGTGGAGCATGATGGGACCAAACCACTTGAAATCATTTTCAATCCCATGTTGGAGATGTGTTAAATATCACTCTGAATAGATTGCATTTAATCGTTGACATTTATTTTCCCTGTTTTCTTTTTTGACTTCATGTCTCTTCACTTTTGCAAAAAAATATAATTGCGCTCTACAGAATTTATTTTCCCCCTACAAAGGATAAAAAAAGAAACAATGACATCTTCGTCTGATCTTTTCAAAAAATTTACTCTACAGAATGTCGCCCAGATCGCGAGTAGTAGTCGCAAGGAGCAGCAGGCGGTACGACAGGAGCTTCGCGAGCAGTTCCCCGTCTTCGAGGACTACTGGGATGAAGTGCTCCCGCCCAAGCAGGATATCTTTTTGATCCGCTGTCAAGGCCAGGTGCGCTGCATTACCCTGGTGAGCTCCCAACCCGAGGTGCTCTTTTTCAACCACTACGACGGCCCTTACATGCCGCATCTCCGCCTTCTGCACAAATATCCTTTCCTGCTCCCGCGGCATCAGGTGGATATCGGGGGCTGCCGCAGCGTTGTTTCCGGCGCCAACGTCATGTGTCAGGGGCTCACCTCGAAGGGTGGGCGCGTCGAGCCGGGGATCCCGCGTGGGACTGTCGTGGGGATTTATATCGAGGGCAAGAAACACGCCGTCGCGCTCGGGATCACGTTGATGTCGTCTGAGGAAATCCTCCGAGTGAATGCCGGTCCGTGCATCGAGAACGTGCACCACCTCGGGGATGGGCTTTGGATGAATCCGATCCTCAGTGATTCGCATATCAGCACATGATAGTTGCGGCGGAGAGGGCGCATATAGCTTTGTAAATTGGTAATAATGGTTTGAATACTCAAGGAAGTACTGTTTGTTGTTAAAATGAGGCTCTCAGAGATCAAGTAAAACATGACCCTTGGACATCTGGTGATAAGTGTGTTACACATTGAATATTGCTATTGTTTTTTTTTTTAATGGTGGATGGTTGCCATCTAAATCCCGCTCCTTTCTCCCACAAACAATGAGCATGCTTTAGACAAGGTAGTCCGCGCATGTTGAGGCACGGTCCTATTTACTTGCTAAAATACTTAGCAGGCACACGCGCCCGTGTTGGGGGCTCGGCTGCGAACCTTGTCCAACATTACTTGGAGCTCGACAATGCATCACGGCATGTCGCCAATGTGCCCTCTTCGCAGCGGTATTTTTATGAGAAAGGGAAAGATGACCATGATGGGTTATCACAGAGGCAGAAGATGATTCAGCTGCGGCTTGGCGCCGCACAGATGCTGGCTCCGTCGCAACATCAAATCGGTAATCATAACAACGCTCATCCGCTGTACTACGCGCAGACCTCCCCGCGTGAGGCTGGCCTCTGCGTTCCCCTCGTAATAGCTTTAAGAAACCTCAAGATTCGACAGCTCACGGAGCTGCAGGGGGCCCTCATTCCCCTCATCCTCAAGGGCAAACATGTCATCGCGCACTCAGAAACGGGTACCGGAAAGAGTTTCGCTATTGCGCTCGCCATCGCGAACCGTATTATTCGAGGTGGCATCAACTACCGCCTCCACACGATTATCTTGGTGCCGACGGAGGAACTAACCCTGCAGTACGACAAGTGGTTTCGACACTTCGGCGGCTGCACCTCGCAGGTCGTGCAGGCCGCGATCGATAGCATCCCACTCGAAGCCCAGCTCGCGAGGCTGCATAACGTTCAGCCGCACGTGCTGGTCGGAACGCCGCAGCGGATTGCTGATATCAACCGCCATAGCCCCACAACCATCGGGGAGAAGCTTCGCCGGAAGGTGGACTGCGTTGTGCTCGACGAGGCGGATTTGATTCTTTCCACGCCTGTCAACTACGGCCGGCAACGGTTGAGCGGCGCCAACATCGTGGATCGCATCTTTCGCAGCCAACCAGACGAGGTACCCGCTCAGTTGATTGCCGCCAGTGCGACCGTCGACGGCGCCACCGCGCAGCTGCTAAACACGTGGACTCGCAACGACAAGGCGGTGCGGCTGACTACGAGCTTCGTGGAGCATAGTATTCCCCCGACCATCAGTTTTTACTTCTTCTCCGAGACCCGGGCTTACCCACTTTGCAAAGGGTTGGAGCTCATCCTGAGGTTGATCTGTCGGCAAGTAGATCTCCCACGTATTCTGCTCTTCACGGAAGAGGAACAGGTGATGCCGCTTTGTCGAATGCTCGTGGAGCAGCTTCAGCCGAATATTCCAGAGGCGGAGCAGTTCCTGAAGGGCGGGCGCAGCAATCGGGAACGCTTCTTCGCCGCCCCCCTCTGCTCAACGCTACCGCAGACGCAAGACGACGGTACGTCAGTGCATACACGCGGCCAAAATCCTCTTGAAAATGGCGTGAGTCCTGGAGCTTCCTCGAGCCCGCGACGGAGCCAGCTCATCGCACAGGCACGCCACGTCTACGTCAAGGATAGCAGCACCCTCTCTAAGCTTAACGAAGGGGATCTCTTGATTGGGGTTTCCAGCTTCGCGATTAGCCGAGGCCTGCACGTGGATGGGGTTACCCATGTGATTCTCTACGGCAGCTGCCCGCCTGCCACGCAGTTCGTGCACTGCGCCGGTCGCACGGGCCGCATGGGGGCGGAGGGCGACGTTATCGTTCTCTTTCCACCCTCTTCCGGGCGAACCGTTCAACAGGTTTGCCACTCGCTGGATCTCTCCTTTAAGCCTGGCAAGCTCGAGACGGTGGCGGATATGCTGAGCAGCGATGACTTTTCTACCGCTGGGTCACTAAAGACACTGTCGGATGAAAACGAGTACTTAGCGGCTGAGATTAGAAAAAAGAAACTGAAGTACCTGCATGAAGATACCTCACTTCTCCCTTCACCTAGTTGATATATGGAAGGGTAACACGAGCACCCCACTTCCCCAAAGAATATGTTCTCTGGAGTTGCAGGTTGATGCAGCTACTACAACGAGAGGTGGTTACACTTTTTGGTGTTGCAGGAGGCGCCAAAGGAAACCCGCAAAGGCAAATACTGGAAGTTTGTCCTAGTCGAAATCATAGGTTTGCATGGGCATTCTGATATCTTCTGTGAGTAAATCTAACGAATAGAACCCGAAGTATTTTTTTACTGTTTACAGTATAGCTACGCTTCATCTTACTCACCCTGATGTGCATACTTGAATGCCGTTTCGGACCCATATGTCCGATTCGTTCAAACATTTCCATTTTTTGTTTGCATGAATGCTATGACTATGCTCTGATGCATCAAATGAAGTGTGCAGTATATTTGAGTCTGCGTGTTGTGATGTTTTTAGTAAAATGTATACACGAAGACCATTGGTTACCTTCTGATATTTGCTAAATTATCATTCTTTTTTCTTTTATCGGATCTAAATTATCATCTGTGTATAGGAATAAGTATGTATCATTGTCTATAGTGGACATGATGTCAAATAGTAACGCGTTCGAAGAGGGCAATAACTCTGGTGATAAGGCTTCTAGCTGCGCTGAGATGCCACCGGTACTCCGAGGGTTGGTAACGCATATCGATGCTATCGCCGCCGGTGCCGATGCAACTAATGGGAGCGATGGGAGGGGCAATAAAATTCAGAATGACGAACTTCCACCATCCCCAGTTGCAACCGTGGAGTTGCTTCGGCAGATCGATGACCTCTACGAAACCTATACCCGACTGGTTGAGGTTGTCTATCGCTCGCTGGCGCCAACGGCAGCGCCGTCCAGTGGCGATCCCACGGACGTCGAACAGGCAGACGTCATTATACGGGAGCTGAAAGGACGCGTGGGGGCGCTACAGGCGGGAATTAGGTCCAAGGTTCACCAGGTCGGACGCTTTGCGTTGATAAACCACTTGAATTTGGAGGTACAGCAGAGACAGGCTGCTGTAGCTAGGATGGAATCTGTCCTGGCCACGACAAGACGGCACATATGAGATTGAGTATCACTTTCTATTGTTTCGCAGGATGGAAAAGGTTTTTAAATGGTGGCGTCGGAAGTTATTGTTCCACAGGTATATAGTCATATCTGCTATAACGCGGTAGTGCTTCCTTTACACCCACTCTTATTTTTTCCTTTATGGATATGTTTTTCTTCATGAATCTATATATAAAATATATGGTATGTAAGAGCTCTGCTTCATTACTATTGACCTTCCCTTTCAGATCTCAAGTCTATACAAATACTGCTGTAAGTAAATCTGACTGCGAATTTAAGAAAATGAACTTTTTCAATTTCGAATCTGACAACTTCCTCGATGAGCATTCGACCTTCGATGAACCCGCTATCTCTGAGGAACAGGTCTTTACCCCCTATGCGGAGGTGAAAAACGCATTGAACGTGGTAAGGAAATTCGGCACTGGCATCTCCTCCAACGATGTTGACAAGATGGATCCAAACCATGGCTATGTTGGATCGCCAGCTGAAGATAAGGGTAGCTTTTCAGGAATCACCGAGTTTGACTGTGCGGCGTACACGAAGGAAGGGCTTACGGAATACCAACAGAAAAAAATTATGAAGCGCATGTTTACTGCCTTCGACGTTCAACAAAAACACTATCTTGATATCGCCCGGTTGAAAGAACTTTGTGAGTACGTTGGCCGCTCTATCACAGTCGAAACGATGGAAAAGATGTTCGGGGAGCTGCAGACGAGCGATGGCAAGGTCACCTTCGAGCAATTCTGGAATTGGTGGATCAACTGCCCCGATACCAGCATGACGACGAAGGCTTTTTCACTTGTATCTGCCGACTTCTCCGTGCCCTACCACCAACAGCAGCTCAAAAAGAGTGAAGAAGGCGAAATTTTCACCCCGAGCTACCGCATCAAGTACTATTTCAAGGACCTTGAGACCGGCCACGTGAGGCCCGTCAGCCCCTGGCATGACATCCCCCTGCGGGTGTGTGATCCTTTGCGCACGAAGCCCGAGCACATTCCGGCGAACCGCTACAATATGATATGTGAAATCCCCAAGTGGACCCGTGCCAAGTTTGAGATCGCCACCAATGAGCCCTTTAACCCGATCAAGCAGGACATTAAGAACGGCGTCCCGCGCTTCTACAAACATGGCGATATGATGTGGAACTACGGCGCGATGCCGCAGACGTGGGAAAGCACCGAGATAAACTTTCACGACGGTTATAAAGGCGACAACGATCCTATCGACGCGGTGGAGATAGGGATGCAGCAGATGCGTGTGGGGGATGTGCACCCTGTCAAGGTGCTTGGGGTCCTCGGCATGATTGACAATGGGCAGATGGATTGGAAGGTTGTTTGCATCTCTGTGAACGATCCCATTACTCGGTTCATGAAGGACATCTCTGATGTGCCAAAGTTCCTGCCGGGTTGCTTGGATGCCATGCGAGAGTGGTTCCGAGTTTATAAGATTTGCCAGGGAGGCGTCGAAAATAAGTTTGTGTTCAACGGCGAGTTTAAAAACAAGGCGTTTGCGATGCAAGTAATAAAAGAGTCCCATTACATGTGGAAGAATCTCCGAAAAATCAAAGGGACCAAAAATTTTTAACATTAAAAATTCTTTCAGCCTGAATGTAGCCGAGTGTGTAGTGAGTTCTAGAGCCCCGTTTGTACGATTAGAATCCAACCCTGTCCGTCTCTGAAAATACGAGGATTGATCATCTGAGGTTCTTCCCTCTATATACAAGCCTCACTACCCGGAAATGGAAGTCGATTTAGCACAAGAATGCGTACGATGATGGCTCTCTTAGTATTTTTCATACTAGGCTACCACAGATGCTGATGCTGATGAAAGTGCCACGCTCCGTCAGGGAGACCATACAACTGATTCTCTCTAACTTGCAGTTTAGGATATATAGCCACATGTATTCGGGTTCGTTTGGGGGTAAAAATAGGCTGAGCAACTGAAGGCTGACCAACTTGTGCGCTTAATACGCTTGGAAACATTTATGTTGGTATATAATTAATCCCTTTTAATTACCCCGAGCATAAAAAAGTAGTATGCGGATAAACTTTTGTTCAGATATATCTGAATTGGATTCCCAATGAATATAAATTCATCTAGGAGTAGTACATACTTTTAGCTGGCATTTTACGGTATGAATGCACGCATCTAACTACAGTTACATATTTTTAACTAGTGATGTTTGCTTGTAAATCTCAGCCTTAGACTCTCAACGACAGAGTCCAAAAATAGGAAACACATATATCCGGAACTCTTCCATCGCGCTTTTGATTTTGGCAAGCTTCCTTAGAAGGGTGCTTGGGAAAGTTATTGGCCTACTGTACGGGGAGGAGTCTATGCCACTCCGAGGAAGCCCCTTTAGTTTTGAACTTCTCCTCGCCTCCTAAGACGGTGTTGGGCCACTAAGGCGGTACATCGTTGCGAAATTAGTTAATTAAGTCTTGGGAGTGGTATGGCAGGAATGATTCCAAAGGATTCATGTGGGATATTATCGAACATTGCTTTTAGAAATATTGGGTTTAGTAGTTTATCAAAAAGTGAATTATTTCATCGTTTTTACAGATTTTAGTGCTTATTTGTTAATACTTTTCCACACATTTTTTATTTCTTATTGTGGATTGTTGTATATGTCATCTTATATTCAGATAAAATCGTAAGAAACTCCATTGAATAGGACTACCTGTTCATGAAAACCTAATTACTAAAGTGAATGAAGTTTTTGTTTTTTTATAATTATTTTCCTCTAATGAATGTACCTTCTACTTGAATTCATTAAACCTTATCTTATACATTTGGAGAAAATCTTTTGATCCTATTTTTTTTTGTAAGAAATTTAGCTTTCTTTTGGATGCTTCGAAAATCGGTTCCGTCAGAGAAGGTGGAGTGCTGCTTTGCTTAAAACTAGCCCTTTGTGAAACTTCCTCCACAATCATTCACTTCTCATTTTGAAGATAACAAATCTAGATCCGATGTCTTCATACGTGTAGTTACGATGATAAATGTAGCGCTCTCTGCACCAATTCTTGTCGTTTATCAGTTTCCTTAAAATGGCCTCTATGAACATCTTCAGATGCTCTGATCAACTCAAGAAAAATTTAGCTTCACTTAAGCCCAATTTAATCTTCGGGGTAACTTTAGACGTACTTGTCGTAGTCTACCGCAGCGTATCCTAGTTTATGAATGCCGCACCTTGTTGGCTAAATTTCTTATACACCATTGTGCCTCCATGATGGTATCCTCGCTAGCGTCTCATAGAACAAAGGGGGACTAACTGCTTCTATATTATACCACTATGCGCATCAAATGAAAGTGCCTGTGCGTTGTTTGTGGACGGGAACAATACATAAATGGATGTGATGGTAAAGGAAAATCATGGATAATTGTGCGAACCCATTGTTAGGCTGGACTCAAACACATTCTTGAAAGCGTTTCCATATCATGCCATATCATTGAAGGTGGTGTTACAGATGACCTAAAACATTCTCCGACAAATGTAAGAAAAAGAACCCTCATGGTAATTAAACCCTTGGAATATTTCGGGAGTTGCTCTGGTTTGATGGTTATTGTTTTTGATTTATATTCGTTTGTATCCAATTGTGTTTCTTGCTGGATCAGGAACATCTCTGCACGAAGCTCCGAAACTTCGTTTTCACGAGCAATTCTATTTGATTGAAGGTATCGTTTTGATGTTTTATTAAAAGCTGTCATTATCGTGATTGCATTTTGATTTCAAATTAAATTCGCAAACTGCATACATGATACTGGGAAAATGGGAGCATTCATTTGCCTTTTTCCCTTCATATGCACTTATAAAATAAAAGGAACCTTTTTTACTAATGCAAAATGTGTCGTCTTCACCTGAAAATAAAGCAGATGATTTACCTGCGACTACAAAAGCTCTCCTGAAATACTTGGATACGCGTACCCTGCAATTAGAGGAGGAGAAGCGTCAGATGCTTTCCGTGCTTGAGAGGCTCAAGCGAGATGAAGCTAAACTCTTAGATGCATTGAAGGAGACTGAGAGAGAAAATCCAGCCATAGAGCAGAAATTTAATCAGTGAGTCTGAGAAATAGATGGCCTTCGTCTTTGTCATTATGGAATTATATAATACGAAATCCAACATTACATGGGCTCCGTAGGCCTCATAGATCTGGTCACTACATATTGTATTGTTGTTTGGAGAACGACATGATGGATTTTCTTATGACTGTTCCTCTATCTGTCTATCTATCTATCTGACTATATATATATATTTATACATATGTTAGCTTTTACGTTGCTCCAATTTCTTGAGGTTTCAAAGTTTACGGATTGTTAGGCTTAGTTCTATTACTCATCTAAAAAGGTAGAAAGGTGTAAAGTTACTGAAAAAAAAACAAGAGTTTCTATTATCATGTGGCGGAGAAGTTCTATCTTTCTTTCCCCCAAACCCCTCTCTGCACCTGCAGTAACACAAGCTTTGCAGGGGTTGTATGGATGGAAGCTGCGTGGTTCGACGCCGCATATCATGGAATGCGACTACACGTTCAAGAGCTTTCCCGAAGCATTAGATTTTATGCTGCGTGTGAGCCCGATCTGTGAGCGCATGCAACATCACCCTTCCTGGACGAATGTATACAACAAAATTCACGTAGAGTTGACTACACACGATGCAGGGAATAACATAACACAGAAAGATGTAGATCTAGCAAGAGAAATGAACAAGCTGTACTCTACCGTAAATAAGTGAACGTGAAAAAAATGAAACTGCACGGTTTTCCTTGAAGAAAAAAAGTGGTTTACCGCGAATACCAAGCTTTCCTGTTTTGAAAAAAAGTATATATATGTATTCCTGAATTTTCCTTTTGTTGATTGATGACTTCTGCCTGTGCATATTGTTACTTGTTTCTATTCTGAACTGGATACCAGCAATTGACCACACTGGATCAAGAAGGCTATGTGATTTCAACATGGTGTGACAACTTGTTGAGCCTCGCCCTTGGCCTCTCTGTTCCTTTGACAACCACTAAGCCTTGGCACCGGTGCGTTTGGGACAGACACATCCCGGAACATCCATACATACTGACACAGATACACACACTCATCCCTTTCTCTCTATCTCGCTCTCTCTCTGGTTAAGTAATACATTCATGTAGGGGGAATGTCAAGCAGGACCAATACCGCGAGCGGCCCACGTGGACACCCCACCACGGCCCCTCTGCCGCCTCGGTCTCGTCGGCGGCCGGTGCTGCCCCCACCGTCGAGTCGTGCGGCGCGGCGTCTTCTCCTGCGGCCGGAGGGCACGCTCGCCCACGACTTCGACCTCTCCCTCCGCGAGGTGCGGCGCGTGTTGGGGGAGAT